ATGCAATATACATATATATAAATACATATAGGTTTAAGTCTCTTACTTTTACTGGCTTATGTCACATTGCACAGTTAAAAAGGAATTCCATTATATTCAACAAGCCCTATTGATTGGTATCTTACTCTTTTTCCAGCCTTTGTTCTTTATTGTTGGAACAATAAACTCAACAGACCTATGTTACCCTCCATGTGGAGATATATTCACAGAGGAAAGTTCTTAAGAAATGAAATTGTAAACCCAGTATAACAGCACCCGCCTTTAATCCCAGCGCTCGGAAGCAGAGGCAGGCAGATCTCTGTGAGTTCAAGGCCAGTCTGGTCTATGTAGTGAGTTCCAGGACAGTCAGAGCTATCTAGTGAGACCCAGTCTTGAACATAAATAAATAAGTAAATAAATAAATAAAATTTTAAAGTAAAATTGTAAAGTCAAGAGATGTATGTGGTTTTATTGCGTTTATTATTTTTTAAAACTTTTTACTGCATTGATTTATTTTTGTCTGTGTATCGGCCTGTGTGGGCCTTACTGTGTGTGTGCTGCTCGGCAAGGGATGGGCTAGTGCGCGCTCTTTCCAGCCCCACTCCTGCCTCAGCCCCACAGATGCCTGCCTGCTGAGCTGATTTACTAATCTGACCTCCATCCCACGGATGGGTTTTTCCTTGTTCTGAGCTTTGTATGACTAGAATCATAAAGAACGTGAGCACTTTGTGCGTGGCTTCTGCTCCAGTGTGTCTCCGGGTGTCACTGTGGTCAGCTGCCCCTCTTTCATTTGCATTGCAGGTGTGTGCAGCAGTGTAAGGACACACAACAATTCACTTCCCTGTTTAGGTAGGGATAGGCATTTGCATCCTTCCCAGTCTTTGGTCAATGTTAATTATCTTGATGCAAACAGCCACTGGGGAAGGGGTGGGCATCAAGCTCACTTCTAGCAGTCATATGTCTAGGGGTAGAATTGGTATGTATATCTCCTCTGTTTTGTAGGTACTGCCAAACCGTTCTCCGTGAAAGTACGTCAATGCAAGGAAGGGCCCATTCCATCACTCTGTATGCAAAGTACCAGGCTTAGCATGGTGCCTGGGATAAAGCCCAGTTCAACCACAAAGCCTCAGCTCCAGTAGTGATAAAGTTTGGTTTGTGACCCTCCAGCCCCATTCCCAGAAAGACACTGTGATCTCTCCCCGGATGATCAGGTGACGGCAAGGAGGAATAAGTGAATCTTTCCACCTCAGAGAAACATCTTTAGTGGCTAAAGAGTAGCCGTTCTGTTGACCTCAGTGAAAAGTTTCTGCACCCTAATAAGCCCCTCGGATGATGCAATGATTCAAATCAGACTGAATCAAACCAAATTAGAAAAAAAGCCCAGGATTAATGGATACCAATGCTCGCCAATGGCTTTCTAGCCCTTCAGAGAGGAGCTGGGGAAGGAAGATGGGAAAACCTTGTGTTTGATCTCTGGGTTGCAGTTTAAATACCCTATGGGAGTGGTCTTGAGCATCTCTGGGGAGGCGTCATTGTTTGGCGGGTTTTCTCAGGGGTGGAGTCTGGACTGAGGCAACTCCGGGGTTTGGGGTTAGGATGGAACTTCCACTGGAACACTCTCTCCTGGGCCTTTCTAAAGCCCTTGGACATAAATCAACAGTTCTTAAGCTCAAGTTCAGTGCAGATGCTCTGGGGGAACTTTCCAGAACTACCAACCTCAGCACTCTACTCCCAGGTCTCTTACTGAATTAGGGATGGGGTAGAGTCTGGGTATGGGTGTCTTAGGAGTGTCCCAGGGAGCTCCAGGGGCAAGCCAGGCCAGGATGCACTGAAGACACCATTGCATGCCACATTCAGAGTAACCCTGTGTGGGAAAAGATGGAATGAGGCTGACCTGGGGCTCTTCTAGTATTTGCAGCATAGTGATGGTGCTTAGTTCCTGCCCGCGGCTATGAGAGAGCCTTGTGAGGGAGCCTTAGGACCACCCTGTGCAACCAGAGGCATAGCCAAGGGCTGTGCCTGGCAGACCCTAGCCTACGATGGCCCCAAACTCAGCAAGCTCAGTGCAGCAAGGACCCACAGACCCCGCTACATCAGGCTGAGAAAAGGGATCAGAAGGAAACTGAAGGCAATGTTAGCAGCAGACATGTTTGCTGGGGGGTGATGTCCCCAGACCTTTCAGCATTCTCCAAGTGTCTCCCGGTGAACGACACTTGCAATTTCAAGTTATTGACACAAGCCTTTCAAGTTGTTGAAATTAACAGCGCCTCCATTTTCTGGAGAAGCAAACTGAGTCCCAGAGAATCTGAAGAAGGTGAGTGACAGAATCAGGACCACTTCTGTCTCCCAAGTTCCATGAAATACTTGAGGCTTCTCAGGAGACAGGGCAGTCTTGGCCTCTGCCTACAGAATGGAGCTAGGGAAGTAGGCAGAGGAAAAGTCCCAGCGGAACAAGAATTATTTTAGTTGGATTGTCTGTCCTCTTATAGGGTAACCAGGAACATAAAAGAAAACGGAAGTGAAGTAACCCCAAATCTCATCACCCCGATGTAAACAGCAGGGATTTGGGGGCTACTCTTGCAGCATAACCTTTGTCCATCACCATTCATACAGGTCCAGGTAAGTGTGATTTTCCATCCATGCATCATGCTGCTTGGCCACCTTCCTTTCTCCTTACTAATGTGTTGAGGAGCCACGTGTCAGGCTTAGTATGGCAGCCTAGTGTCCTGAAGATGGACCATACAGTCAGCAGACTTCTGTTGTTGCTGCTTTTTTGAAAAGTCTATCTATCTATCTATCTATCTATCTATCTATCTATCTATCTATCTATC